GCTGCGACGAATAGCGTTGTTAAGTCCGTTGGCACGGCATTGACACAAAAGAGCCGCCTTGCACGCGCGGGTCACCGCCGTTGGCTGCTCGAGTTCGCTAGAACAATCGCGACGATTCGTTCTGTCCTTGCGAGGGACACTGACCAAGTCATTCGCGTCGATTCCGTTCCCGAAATACGCTCACCCGCGTTACTGAAACGGTTCCTTCCCGGATAACTGAAACGCAGTTGTACCCCGCGTGATTTCCCTCCGGTACGGGTGACTCATCGACTCGGGTTCGCGAGAACGACCGCGACGGTTCGCTCTGTCCTTGCCGCGAGACATCCTCGAGTTACCGAAACGGTTCTTTCCCGGATAATTGAAACGCAGTTATACCCCCGCATTATTTTCTTTCGGTACGGGTGACTCATCGACTCGAGTCCGCGCGAACAGTTCGTTATGTCATTACGGGGGACGCTGATCGAGTCTTTTGGATCTATTTCGTCCTTGAAATATATTGACTGATTCGCGTATCGACGCCTTGGTGTACTCTTTTAGCCTGTACTACCATGATCCGAAAATCACATTAGGGATAAAGACATAGAATTATGTACTAGACTCAACATTCTCTGTATTACTGAGGAAGGTTGAATGACCCAGTCATGACTCCAAGTACTGTTTTCTCGCCATTAGCGAGCATCTACTGCAAACGACTCTATTTGTAAGAGAGAAACAGAATAAATTACTGCAAATTCTTCAAAAATGCAGTTTATATAAGTTTCAGAAATGACAGTTGTTTCGAAGAATATGGAGCCAATGGTTCATCTATTATTTTGTAACCCTTTCAAGGGTCGAAATAGCAAGGATTTAATATAGTCTGATTCTAATGGGACCATTCTGTTCGTCGTTTGTCGAACAAAAGAGTCGGTTGCTCGCGATCCGGTTAAGCCTCGTAATTTCGCGAACGGCGTCGAAACGTCACCTCGAAGGGCCACTGAAAAATCCCCGACGCATCACGTAATTTCTAAGTTGGGCCACCATCGTTCTTGCACCAGGTCTTTCGTAACGTTTCGGGACCACTGGTCGTCGTCCAACTTCCAAATTAGAACCGCTCTCTCCCTGTCGGTGCTCGTAACAATGGCATAATCGCGTTGATGAATTTTCCGGCGATAAATCGAGTTGAAAATTTGGCAGTATTCGTTCCACGAGATCAGTTTAGCGTACAATACCTATTGTATCTGTCTAAGCCTGAGATGGAGCAACATTTTATTCGAGTAACAAATTTATGATGACCGATATCACGCGGCATAGGTCGAGAAGATATACTAATTTTGGGTCAGGTCTGTATTATTTTCAGGTAGCGATAGGCTGAATTTGCCCTTCCATAATTAATTAAATTTCTAGTTAGGTTTTCTCACCCCGTCCCTAATATTTACTTACTAAAACCGCTATATAAATGAATAAATGAAATCTCGCTGAGGCCCCATTAAATAATTCTTCGAGCCAAACTAAATCGGTTGAAACGCTCGATAACGAAATGCTCGGTCATTTTTGTTTAATAAAATGAGACGCACGTCCATCTTGGTTCGTTCACCTCTTTTATCGGCCGTTCTGCACCTGAAACACCGGAACAGCCTAGGAAAAGTGTCTCGACGATTGTATTTAGTCGTTATCTCGCCGCGTTGTGTACAGGAGATACAACCGGTAACGGTGTTGCACACGAACGATTCTAATGCAGCCGACGAACGTGCTTTCACTCTCGACCGAACGGACTGTCGATTGTTATGCAACGCGAGTCGCGGCCATTATTTCAGGTTCGCTTATGAACGACATCCTCCAAGGTTAATAAAATCAATCGTTCGCCTCGATGCCAGTTACTCGGGCCTGATAAAGGATTATGTGTCGCTTAAACAGCCACGCCAAGGCGGTTACACCGACGGCGAAGCACGTGTTACGGTGGGACGCTCGTTTCGTGGCGTCGCGGCGCACACTGGGATTATCGCATTTGCATCATACAGATGGCTGAATCTATTTTCGTGCTCTAATTGTACGGGTTCTGCTCTCCGAATTAACCCTTTTCTCAATTGTTATACCTAACAATTCTCTTTCTATTCTTCTATATGAAATATTTTATAAAACAATGTTTTCAGTGGTCACGTTTCAGCACTTTCGTAAACCAGGAAGATCAGAAAAATATTGTAAAAATTTAAAGCATTTGTTCCCAAAATGAATTTACTCACCAAGAACGTTTGAATTACGCGCCATTCTTTGGACCAGCCATACCTAGATAGGAAGCACCCCTTCATCGATTGTAAAAGTGTTTTATCTAACTTTTAATCCCTTTAATTCGTTGACTGATCGCCAAAACTAAATTTTTTAGCCCATATGGGAAGTATTTAATCTCTTCTAGATCCGCCATTGTACCTAGAGAATCGTTTTGAATCTCTGCGGGAGATTGTTCTATGAAAACGCACGTTTCTTGGCGGCAAAAAGCAACGAGTCGACGTCGAACATAAAACGAGTCGGCTGACATAATGGCTCGGGATCACCGCCATTACCATTCATCCGCGAGACGTCCAATTCTCCGCTTTCGGCCGAGATAATGACTCCCGTAGCACCTGTGCAAGCCGTGGAATATTTTAGTCGTCGAGATCCGCGCGAAGCGACCGCAAACACAAGGAGCGTATTTCGGTAGGCTGACTCATCGCGTCTGTATTGCTATTTAAAAGCACGGAACGTCGGTAACGAGTGTATCGAGTTCAGTATTTACCTTAACATCACGATGATTCCTCGAACGGTTGAACGGTTGTCGGGGGGATCTATTTCTCGCGCCACCGAATGTTTACCAAACACGATCTTTGAGTGATTCGATCGTGTTTGAAATTTATTAGTATTTTACTTCGCTTTAAAATCACCAAAAGGTCTTGTTGAAACTCAACCTAGTCTCTTTTTAACTCCATATTTAAATTTAATTTGAGATTGCTGAATTTCATACGAAATACGACGCAAAATCACACGTTGTAGTATACATATATTTTCACTTACTCTCTGCGTAATCATATGTTCTAAGAATGAAGTGTTTATTAGTGATTCAGATAAGAGTTTGTCATTAAGGCGAACTTATATATACAATAGAAGACAATATACTATAATAGATTAATTATATTAGAATTGTTCTCCAGTAATCTTATAATTCCAATAAAGATAATATTAGTTTGTAAATATAGAAATTAATCTACCAGTTGGAAACTACATTACTTAGATCATTCTTTTTTCTAATTTCTTAGACCATTAGTAAAAAATTCTGTCATTCATATAAAATCTTATAATAATACGATTAATAGGTAATGCGTATCGGAATTAGAGTTATGAGTAAGAAAGTGAAACATTGATAATTAATTATCTGATACATTTGGACAGCGCGTGCAGAATAATGGGTTCCAACAGGATGGTTGAATTTATTATTGGCGATCTTGAATAGTAAGGATAGGTCAATAACTATTCTGCTTTCCTTCGTATGTTAAGAAATAGCAATTGAAAGACTCGAAAATGGTCACTTTTAATTAATAATCGAAGCAACGAAAAAAGAACTATTTGTTCAAAATAGTTGAAATGATTGGTTTCTTGAAAAGAAATATAACTTTGATTAAGAGTGCAAATTATGTATGTAGAATTCACGTTTAAGAAGTCTCAAAAATTTGCACTGAACCTTTTCTATAAGCATACTTTTATTGCCCTGTCTAATCTCATTGTAACAGTCATTGTGTTGTGATCTCCACACCACAACATAATTTCTATCTTATCAATAATGTTGTTGTTCTCGAGAAACGAGCAACTATCGCTTTTCCTGGTATTTTCCTTTCAATGTGTAATTAATTATCGTGGCCTTGGCCATTTTTTCGTTATTTAAATATATTCTACTTCCTGAATCAGATACAATTCTGCGAATCGCGTGTGCATATTTGTCTACAAATATTGCAACATCATAGAAAGTTCCTCGTGGAATACAATTGATTTTTTAACTTTTACGGGTGTCTCCCTATTGTTACCACTCTTATTCGAATAATGATATTTGATATTCGTCAAGTATCGAAATATTAAAGTGCTGGAACAGTTCCAACCCTAGTTGCTACCCGTTCAGCCTGCCCCTCGAGAAATCGTTCTCGCGTCGGTCACGCTCAGAAATCGACAGAGTTAACGACCAGATAGCCAGTACAGCATATGTGCACTGATGTTTTATCGTAGTTCATGACAGTCTAGCAATAAGGAAGCGCGAGATTCCATAAGCCGCGAAACGATCGAGTGACTCACCGATTAAACGTCTCTGAAACGTAGTATCGAGTGTTCGAGATTCGAGTTGTCACTTCGCGACGATAGATTAAAAGGTCGCTGCCACTCTGTTGACGATCGTCTTCTGTCCTCGGGATATCATTGACCCACGCACACGCATTTATTTGTCGCGGTTCGAGATAATAACGCGGACGAAGACACTCGGTGTCGCTGGCTACGACTGTTGCTCGAAATTGTCTAGGCCTAAGCCTATTTGTGAAGTTTCGGTTCTTCATAAATCACGTACGTACATATTCATTAAATACATTAATAAATAAAGAATTTACGAGTACGATAACGCAAACAATTCGATCTGAAATAATACAATTTAGATTCGGGTCAAAATGGACCCAGAACATTCGAGGATCAGAGATCATCCAGGTCTTCTCTAAAATTATATTCGTTACAATACCTTCTTAATAAATCGTGTAAACAGTCTGGAAACCTAGTTTCGTCTTATTTTGGCGCTCGGAGCATCCAGCCCTAAAATATTACCCACCTGTGGGTAGCAGCTCTACAGACATATTTCCTGGTAACGTCAAACCCGAGTTATTAAGGTACTCAGGTGGTCCGACATAATTTTAATTGGAGAATCCGCTCCCCTCCAACCGCGAAAGATTCCGCGGAGGAGCCAACGTCCCGCGCGCAGCCCAGTACTCACGCCACGTCTGACGATCTTCCTTCTTTTACAGCGTCGACGTCGAGGCCGCGTCTCGATATAACCGCGACTGACGTCAAGACAACGCATCTCCAACATCAACACCACCACCAACAGCAGCAGCAGCAGCAGGCGTCATCACCGATGTCGACTCTGGTGTGCTGCGAGCCGGTCTCGGCCGGACGTTCTCGGGACAACCTCAAGCTGGTTCTGAATCGTAGTCTGAGCGAGCCAGGTCCGCCCGCTGGCGCGTCCAGCTTTCTATCCTCCCCTACGTCGACCGTTTCACCGAGCTCGTCCACCAGCAGCGGCGTGGACATCGTCGACGCCAGCGACAGCACTAACTGCAGCCTGAACGCCAGCGGCAGCAGCATCAGCACCACCAGCAGCAGCGGTACTGACTGCGACCACCCTCTGAACGACGTCCACCGTCACTACCACCATCTCCATCACCACCATCACTTCCATCAGCATCAGCTGTCGGCATCAAAGCGCTGCAAACTGGAGACCGTGAGCCTCCCAGCCAGCCCCTGTTCCGAGAACAACACGCTGCAGAGGCAGCTGGTGCTGCAGAGGACCGGCACGGTCACCGCCGACGAACTGGCCCAACGTCTGCTCGGCCAGAAACCGGACAGCAGTCCTGTCCTCCTCGACTGTCGACCCTTCATCCTCTACAACGTGAACCATGTGAGAGGTGCCATCAACGTGAACTGCTCCGATCGGTTCAATCGGAGGAGGCTGCAGTTGGGCAAGGCGACGCTCGCCGACCTAGCCACCACCAGGGAGGGAAAGGAACTCCTACGGAAGAGACACTACAGGGAGGTGGTCGTCTACGACGACTGCACCGACGATCCGGACCGTCTGCCCGTGCAACATCCATTGTTCCTCGTGTTGGTCGCCCTGTTGGAGGACAATAGGGAGCCTGCTCTTCTGATCGGTGAGTAATGCTTTTTTTCTGTACTGTTGTGGAGGTTTTGGGAGGTGGAATCCGATGTCCTGTTAGCGTGAGTTGCGGTTAATTGCTTGTAGAAGCTTGGGTAGGTGGGATTTGTTGCCCTGTCATCGTGAATTAATTATTATGTGTATATAAATAAGTGACGAAGTAAGGAAAGATCAGAAGTCCTGACATATTTAATCTAAGTAATTATCTACACATAAATAAGTGAAGAAGCATAAAATTTTATTGAAAAGATTTACAATTCGTTGTATTGTGGCTAAGAATATTTAATATTTAATACTTTTCCTGTTGTAAATTACTGTTTTTTTCAATAAGTATTTCTGATAATAGACTTTTCATTGTGCAACACACATAAATGAGGTGGTTTATAAAAGTACGATAGAAACTGAAGAAGCATAAAGATTATTATAGGAAGTATAAAACTTATGGGGAATGTTGTGCCACGATTAAGTAGAATGAGTACAGTGTCGAGTAAGACACAGTCGCAGGCCTCACGAAGGCTGACTAGCTGTCTGACCCAACACTGGACGCGATTCCTTCGAGGATTGATTTTTCTTTCCACATGAATCCACTTTTTTTTTATGTATAAAAACTTTTCGTTTATGTTTCACTTAGACCAAACGTTTTTGACTCAATTTATACTTAACACTAGTTTACGAATACTCGCGAATTTTATTGTAATTCGCTGTGTTGACAGTTATTTTAAAATACAGTTTTTCTTTTAATTAGGGCATATATATATACCATTACATAAATTGCTAACAAATAATATTTATTTCTATAACGATAAGTTTAGAATCTGAATGCTTGAACTAATGCTTAATTCGAACTAAATGTTTGCCATCGTTGGATCGAAGCATGACTTTTTTAATAAAAGTAAATTTATGTTTCCTCCTCTTTTTACATCATTTTTCCAACGTCACTTATGTATATATAGAAACAATTACACGATCGTTTAAACATTTATTCGTCTTCGATAATACAGTATGATACATTCGAAAAGGGCAGGTGATGGGTTCAAGACGGTTTAATAATTTTTTTTTATTTCGCGTGAATTTTACTGGCGAAAAAGCACGCGTCGTAACGTTATATTTGTTGTTTGTTGTTTACGTAAGATCACGTGGGAGCGCCTGACTTTCGGAAATAACGATGATGCAGACCGCCTCGAAAGTTGCGTCTGCGCTTTTTCTTTCCACGACGTCGAATCTCCGTTCGATCGTGAAACGACAAATGTTGCGGAACAGTCCTCGCTATTTACCATAAACAACAACGATAGTTTCAACAATGGCAATTTTGTGAAAGTTTCCGCGCGGAACGCCAACCATATTTTCTCACAGTTTTCATAATGGGTATTGTGACTATTGTGCAGTGTCTTATATCGTACATCGATATGCATTAAAATTTAAAATTACGAAAAATTAAAATGTAGATGTCATTCACACGCGTGTAACGTGACTTCCAATGCAAATTAAAATTTAAATGTCATTCATAAACGACGTTTTTTTACAAATTGTTTCGAACATGTGAGATTGTATAATTACCATATATTTCCTGACAAATTGCCCGTATGTATTTACGATTTCTAAACATCTACGTTTTAAACATCTTAGACCTTCGACTCGACCATCTTTTTTCTAAAAACCACAAGGTAGCTTGCACTATTCTCCGAAATTTTTATCGTTATTGCTCGAAGATGTTTCCTTGCAAATTGCCTATAAAAATTTGCGGTCTCTCTGTGCGAATTAAATCCTTCCGATTTACCATTTTATTATACCGAATGTCTGTGAGATAATTCTCGTCGCGTAACGTTCGCGGTAATCGTTCTCCAAGTACCATTTTTACCATTCGTTTTCGCGAAGGCCTCGAGAGGAAATATTCCGAGCTAAAGTGGGAAACGGCAAAAAAGGTGCACGTTTTTCACAGCCAGCGCGGTCTCCATGCTCGTTTCGCTCTGCTAAATTAGGTGGGCGATGAATTAAACGGGAAACTGAATGGAAAATGTCGAGGAAACGTGGGTGGAAAGATTGCGTATCGTCGGTGGCTCGTGCTCCTCTCTATCGGGACTCGAGTAACAGTACTCCCGATACGTACTCCACTAAACGCGTTTTCTCGCGCTCGTTCCGTCGAAACGCGCGCGTACGTGCTCGTTTTACGGAATGCGACTTGCCTGCAACGTCCGCGCGCCAAACCAGACGACCACGATCCATTGACGAGACTTCGAACGAGTTCTTCGCTTTTCCGTGACGATCCGCGCGCTGCACCTGGCGCCATTCCTATCATTGAACCTTGTTTCATCCGTCGTCAGGATCTTTAAACGTTCTCGATCGTCGATGCCGATAAAGATCACATGTTCTCTTATCTCCGTCAATTTTTACCATTCCACCGGACGACTGGAATAAACATTCTGATACCTATCGAACCCCATTAGTTGCATTAATCTACTCGATCTCGACTTTTCTTTCCTTTCGGCAAAAACAATATTCTCGCGTGCCACAAGTTATTTAGAGTCTAATAAATGTAGTTGAATTTTTATAATTGTAGCGATATTTTTGGACAATGATTCAATGATATTTATAGAGTTACTGTTACTTCATTTCTTCCGTTGTGCGGAACCTAAACGTTTCTTGATCGTCGATGTGGATAAGGATTATACATTTTCTTATTTTAATCTTTTTTATTTTGTTGGACGACTGGAATATAAGCATACCGATTCCTATCGTGCTCCATTAGTTGCATTAATCTATTCGATCTCGATTTTTTTTTAAATAATATTCGCGTGACTCAAGCTATTTAGTGTTTAATAAATGTAGTTGAATTTTTGGATTGTGATCCAATGATATTTATAGACTTCTCTTCAAATATCTCTATCTCGTAAATTTTTCGCAATTCCAATATTCCAGGTGAATTCAGTGAGTGCTCGAATTCAGCAAGAAAAGATTTCGCGCTGGTGGTAAAAATAAACTCCAGTTTCGTTAATCGGTGTAAATCATACGTTCCAAAGATAATCGCAAAAAGCGCGTCGCTCGATGTGCGCCGACCTCCGCGACCCGCGGTCGTAATTTGTTAATGGTCCGTAAGATTGATAACCTTTTCTTTTACAGCGGCAGCGTATCTTTCCGTTACAACGTCCGCGCGCGATCGTTGCACGTATTGTTTGGATCGGCGAGGATCTAGCGATCCCGATAACGCGACGCGCGAAGTCATCGTAACGACGACGCAGAAAACGCGGCTGAATGTAGTAAACAGGATCCCCGAGCAAACGACTCGCGGTGAATTAGACGCGAGGAGGCTTGTGCAAGAGCAACGAGCCGCGTGCTGAATGAAACGTTGAAAATGTAACGCGACGCTTGCAGCTTGCGTGCGCAAAAAATTTTCCACGGCCTCGCGAATCGAGCGACTCGCTCGCGCTCAAAGAGTTTTCTAGGATGACGCGATCGCGACGGAAAGTTTTCGACCGTGCGGAGGCAAAACAGCTCGCAAAAAAGACGATATTCCCACAGGGGCGGATCCAGAACACTTGCTTAAAGAGGAGGGGGACGAAAACTGTCGGGTGGGGATCGTCGACTCTCAAAAGGAGTTGATATTGGACTGGAAAAAGATTTCTTATTCATAGAGAGCTACTCCAAAATTGGCATGTCTACATGGATATTTTGCCTAGATAATTTTTTCAAATTTCAGTACTTGTCTTGCTATCAAACTGGCACTAACAGCATTTTCAAACTATTCCAAGGTTTATTGCTACTAATGAAAGAACTTTCCACAACCTGGCATTTCGAAAATTGAAAAATCGTGTTAACAGCAGTTCGTAGCGTTTCGCAAATGGAATTTACGAATTTTTGTTCAATTTATTTCCCAATTTGCACCGCAACGGATCGAAAGGTGAATGGTTAATTGAAAGGTGAAACGCCCAAAATGCAACAACGTGAAAGTGGACGCTGATTGCGACGAAATATTGCAACTTCGTCGCGAGGGGAGGGGGAGAAGGCGTAGGTGGACTTGCACGTCCAGTTTTGAAAAACAATGACGCGTAGATGGGGATGGAGCGATGGCGAGGCGCGAACTGTGACGCTCGCGAATCGTATCGCGATGTTCGACGTTTGGCAAACGGAATCAGGGACGGGAGCAACCCGGTGGCATAGTGTAGTGCGCAAATTCTGGCCGACTATTCGCGGTGTCATCTCCGACATGAGTCATTCCTATGAATAGATCCCCCACCTTTGGTCGCCGCGGCGCGCGTATATCGCCGGTGACTTCGGCCCCTGCGACGTCTTTCTGCTCTCTCCCTCCATCGCCATTTTCCACCTATCGTGCTAACCGACGGTTCGCGCGCACGGTCTCGTAACGTTTCCGACGATACGCCAGCGAAAAATTAGGTTTTCTTCCGGTATCCGCATCGTTCGTATCTTGGATCGTTGCGTTACGAGATCTAGATTCTTCGATCTACTTCTGAATCGAATCGTCCATTTTGTCGTATCTTCAACGGGGCGTTTAAAAGCATACAAGTATCTCCTGGATAAGATGATAGTTAGGTTGCAAAACAAAGAACTAAATTATTTGTTATTAATAAATTATTTATTAAGGGGGTATTCTAGTGTGAAGTGCATTTTTTTAGACTTTCCTGGAGAATTTTATGAGAGTAAACTATAATACCTTTTGCAGTCAAATTCACAAGGTTTATTTCTACATGTGTCAGTTATTTTGTAAAAATTTTTGGGCGAGAAAAAATTAAAATTGGTGGCAATGCATACCCTCAAATATAGTCGCTTTTAAGAAAGGTCGTCTCACGGTATCCATGATTCCCCATGAATGAAAAAACCTGAAAGATTCTGAATTAGTATGAATTTAGCTATACCTGGTACTAGAACGAAAGAAAACAGTCGATAATTTAAAAAATGGCAACACTTTGAAGTTCGATTATCAATTTTTTCATTTTTTTTATTTCTAATTTTGGGGCCCAAAAAAATATAAAATAACAATTT